TGGGCCATATAATAAACCAACAGGGCGTGTTAGCAGATCCTGTAAAAGTGGAGACAATGAGACAATGGCCTTTACCAACTAACCTTAAGCAATTAAGGGGGTTTCCGGGACTCACAGGCTACTACCGGAAGTTTGTGAGAGGCTATGGAATCATAGCCAAGCCGCTCACTGACCTACTAAAGAAAGACAACTTCCATTGGACAGAAGCAGCTGATATCGCCTTTGTTGCATTGAAAGAGGCAATGAGTTCTACCCCAGTGCTGGCTTTACCGGACTTCAGCCAACCTTTTATAATAGAAACTGATGTTTGTCAAGGTGGCATAGGTGCAGTGCTAATGCAAGGAAGACGACCCTTGGCTTACCTGAGCAAGGCAATTGGGATACGAAACCTGGGGCTGTCCATTTATGAGAAGGAGTTGCTGGCCCTAGTGCAAGTGGAGACAATACTTAGAGGGCCACCATTTTGTGGTAAAAACTGACCACCAAGCTCTCAAATACTTACTTGAACAACGGATTACAACCCCACTTCAGCAGAAATGGCTCACCAAACTACTTGGCCTCAGTTATGAAATCATTTACAAAAGGGGGGTGGATAATGTGGTGGCTGATGCTCTTTCCAGGAGACATGAGGGCAGCCCTGAATGCTCAGGGATTTCAGCCGTTACCCCTGCTTGGATTGAGGAAGTCATTGAGAGTTATAAAGGAGATACGGTAGCAGAAGAGAAAATCCAATCACTGATAATAGACCCCAAATACTTCAGCTATGAAAATGGACTACTGAAACACAAAGGGAAGATATATATTGGGGCTAGAGGTGACATCAGGTCAAGGTTAATACAAAATTTACATGGCTCTCCAGAGGGAGGCCACTCTGGCATTCATAATAGCCTCTATCGAGCAAAGCAATTTTTTTTCCTCGCCAAAGATGAATCAGGAAATCAGGCAACTGGTGCTGCAATGTGAAGTGTGTCAGAGGTGCAAAGGGGAGCACGTTTCCTACCCAGGACTGCTACAGCCATTACCCCAACCCCTGCACTCATGGAGCCACATAAGCATGGACTTCATCGAAGGGTTGCCCAACTCAGGAGGAAAGAATACCATTCTGGTGGTGGTTGATAAGTTTACAAAATATGGGCACTTTCTGGCTATGACTCACCCTTTTTCAGCTTCAACAGTGGCTCAACTCTTCCTCGACAATATCTACAAGCTACATGGGATGCCCCAAAGTATAATATCTGATAGAGACGAAGTCTTTACCAGCAAATTCTGGCTGGAACTCTTCCATCTGCTGGGAACTAAGCTCCACTTCAGCTCTGCCTACCATCCTCAAACAGATGGGCAAACGGAGAGGGTCAATCAATGCCTGGAAATGTACCTACGATGCTCAGTTTATCACCACCCCAAGCTGTGGGGAAAGTGGTTGGCCTTGGCTGAATGGTGGTACAATACCACCTATCACACTGCCATTCGAATGTCTCCATTTGAAGCCTTATATGGAATGAAAGCTCCTCAACTGGCATTGGGCCCCTATCAACAATCAAATGTGGCTGCAGTAGATGACTTGCTCCAGGAAAGATACAAGCTGGACCATCTACTTAAAGAAAACCTCTCACAAGCCAGGGCTCGAATGAAACTCTACGCTGATAGAAATCGAACA